CTGACTCTTGGTTCCAGCTTGGGTCACGATCCCACAGTTCATGAGATCGAGCCCCACGTTGGGCTCTGCGCTAATCGCATAGAGCCTGCTTGGGATTCTCTCTCTCCCCCTTTCTCTTCCTGTCCGTCCCCACCTCTCTCTCTCAAAATAAATCAACTTAAACAAACAAAAAAAACTACTTAAGGAGGGGGCGATCAGTCTGCAGAAAAGATCTGGAAAGAAGCCCTAAGCACGGCTCTTGCTTCGTTCCTTGGGCATCTGGGTCCTGGAAAAGGAGGAAAGGTATTGTGCCGTGGGTCGACTAGTCTTACCCACAAGGGGCAGGCGCCGTAGCAAAAACAAGATGTGCGAGGCTGGCCAGGGGCTACCAGAAGGCCTCGTGGTGCAGCGTTATTCTGGTGACCTCGCTGTGGTCCAGGACGCCTATCCCAGAGAAGGACTCACAGTAATCAAAGCACGAGACACTGATGTATAAACCATAGTTACCACTTTAGTCCTTTTAGTTAGGAATTTCTGTTGACTGCCTCCAACCCACATGTAAGCACTCCTTTTATTTGGCGATCCCCGTGCTTGGGAAAACCAGATCTGTGATCAGATCATCTGGCCCATGATGAGACCGGATCCTCACGCACCTGCAGAGAAACCAGCCCCTGGGTGACTGGGTCTCTCTCCCCTGCGGCCTCCTTGCCTAGCCCCCTGGCCAGGACTGGACACACCCATATGCCTGCTAGCGTTCTCAGGTCCTGCTGTCTCAGGACCTTCTTCGATTGTACCCACAGTTCAAGGCAGGTGGCCAATCCCACCTGCCTAGAAACTGTTCCTTTCTTCCCACTGAGCACTGATGTGATTTGCTGCACCTTGAACAACTCCTGAATCTGCCACGGACGCCCTCTGTGATCCCGGGCTGCTTGTGCAGCCTCTCTGTGCCTCGTTTCCTCACCTCCAGAGAGGGGATCCTAATAGTAGCACCCGTCCCTTCAGACTACCTTTGGGAGGAGCACATGAATTAACCTTAATGTAAAGTGCCTCGCACGGTTCCTGGCTCACAAGCAGCTCTGTAGAGACAGTAGTTCCTACAACTGATGATTAACTTTGTTTCAGAAAGGAATCCTATTCCTCATTAGAGCCATTATCATATAATATATATCATTATATAAACGAGTCTTCTGTCCTTCAACATAGTCGTCTCGGAAGACTGCTCTCTTGGACACTTGAGGAAATACGCCCAAGGCACATTCTTCATTAAGATCTCAGTGTAGGGAAATTTCCTTTTTTTTTTTTTTAATTGTATTTTTTTTTAA